CAGCCTTCCATCCTTCTGAGGTTGATAAAATGACCCAGATTGTTGGAGAAAATATGGTGATGTTTGTAAATGACTCAGAGAGTGCTGTAAAGCATTATGGAGTGGTATATAAGTCTAGTGTTATTACTGTCTCTTTCTTGTTGCATGTAATATGTTTTTATGAGCCACAAAAAAGACAATAGCATATAAAATCTTATATTAACATTTCACTGTACTCGGTGACACTTCCATCCAAGGATTGTTGCTTGTTAATCAGGGTTTTTTTTATCTTTATTGAACTTGTCTTGAACTTCTTCAACTTGTCTTGAACGTCTTCATTTTTTTTTCTTTTGTATTTTTTAAAAATACTTCATTGACTATTGACAGTCAATTGATAACCTTCAAAATAAAGGTTTAATGCTCTACTTTACCAATATATTTGTACTGCATGCACTCTTTAGTACTTAAATTTATTGCTATGGGAGGTCTCCACATTTGATATATAAATGAAATAAAAATATCTAGTTTTGAAAGATTCAGCCAGTATGAAGCATGAATCCTTTTTTCCCTTCACTTATTATGCTTCTCTTTCTGATCCATTTGACTTACTAAAAATCTCATTATATTTGATTCTGGCATTGGCTGGGAATATTTTTATACTTGTAGATTAATTTTTCTTGGTCACAATTGACTTCACCACGTTCAGCAATGCTATTTCAGCCACTCAGTTCTTGTTCAGATGTGTCTGGTTAAGTCAGAATTTGGGTCTGGAAAAAGCTTGAAAATTTTGCTATTGGTTTCTTGCCTTTCCCTCTTCCCAGTTCCCGGTATTTTTATTTTGACATAATAATACCTTGCATGCTTTAATTTGGGTGCAATTGGACACAGTAGTTTGAATTGATTTTCATTTCATTGCAGTAGAGCCAACTCAACATTTATAACTAGATCTAAACTTTGCTGTGTTTAGTATTTTTTTTTGTTCTTTATATAGTTTCTTTTGTGATGGACATGAAATATCCGTATATAAATAGTTGCCAAATGGCTTTGCCCAAAGGAATAGTCTTGCAAACAAAAGGGGCTTGACCGTATATGGGGCTCTCAGAGCTTGCATGGATGATAATATTGAACTATCTAGGGGGACAAATGTTGGTTTGTGTTTTGCATTCCAGCCTGAGGAAAGACCTGAAATAAGCCTTGCTCCAGCCTTGTGACCTTTCCTTTTCCAGCAAGTTGTTGAGAATGAAATCACTATTTCTGTGATTCATAGTCCTCCAACTTTTCACTGTCTCTCCCTCCCCAACTCTAAAAAAGCTTGCAAACAAAAAAGTGTTTTTACAACTGCTTCCTACTGATAATTGTTCTCACTCAGGCCAGCCCAGCAATAGCAGATGACACATTTTCCCTTTGTTCCATAGTTTGGCATCTAAACATTGCCAGATATTACTAGACGTGGATTAAATGTTTGTGGTCTGAACTTTTCTTATTCTTGTTTATTAATGGAATGAGTCTCTGAATCTCCTTCAAAGAAAGTTGATGACTAATAAGATTTTTGCCTTGCCTCCAAAATGTGGAATCTAGTCACTTGGGGGCTGCATTTCGCCTGTACTATTTTTAATCTCAAGAATGGAGTTAAGCTTTTCCACTTTATTCAGCCCTTTTGAGTTATAATAATTGTGGCTATTTTTGTAGGTATCTAAAGATTTATATTTTGGCTGTCTTAAGTGTGGTATGACAGGCATAAATTGAAATAATAAAATGTATAATAATGCAAAAAAGCATAATTATAAATAATGCCAAATCCAGTCTAAACATCTGGCTGACTGTGTGATTAATCATCATAATAAAAAGAATAAAAATAATTCTTTTGTGCTCTGTATTTAATCAGGAAGTACTGTGCTAAACCATTATTCATTCTTAAGGTTTGTATGCGTGCTAGGCAGTCTTTGCTGTGGCAGATTCCTTTCGAGGTGTTTGAAATGTTTGACTATCCAGCTATTGATATGCTACTCTCTGCATCTCTGCATCTCTGCATCTGCCAGGCTGTAGGCCTGGGAAGTCTGGTACTGGGTAATTATATAAATTGTTAAGAAAGTATATATGAGATGATTTCAATGCTATGCTGGTAGTGTTTGAATTACAAACTGATCACTTAATAAACATTTAAAATTACAGTGAGCTAGTTTTTGCTGGTTTCTGGCAGTAAATGTCCGTTCAAAAGAATGGATTCACATTTATGACCGCAGCATTTGCTTAATAACTGCAGATTCTTTTAATGACCAGGGCAAAAATGTTGTAAAATTGGGTCTGGTTCCATGGTTGCTTCAAGTTACAGCTGGAATGACATATGACCTAGTAAGACTTACTACTATAAATGACTACCTGTATAGATATTAATTCATTTTTATTCCACCCACACTCAACTGAACCCAGGGTGTTGTATGCTTTAGAAGGATAGATTGCAGGAAGTTCTCAATTTAAACCACAATTGGGATTGGAATCTCAATTGTTAAGTGAAGCGGTCATTAAGTGGGATGTCCACATGACTATTATGCTCAATGATCGCAATCCCAGGACTCCTGGTTAAGTTGTTAATCATCCTGGTTGTTAAGTGGACAGAGTGAAAGAAGGATAGAGGCAAATCCTTTAGTAGGCTCCAGGAACACTTGCAGGGAGAGGAAATCAAGAACACCGGGGCACAACTTCAAATTGACAGGAGGGAAGTTTAAAAATAATGAAGAAAGTATTATTTCACAGAAAGAGTAGTGAAAGCTTGGAAGTGGAGGTAATGGGTCAGTCATCAGTAACTGAGTTTAAACATGTCTAGGATCCCATCATCTGATAAAAATAAATAAATAATGAAAATAATAATTAAAAAGTAATAAATACACAAATTAAATTAAAAAGAAAACAGAGCAGACTTGATGGATCACTAGGTTTCCCACCACCACCACCATCAGTTTTCTATGTTTCTATGAAATCCTTTGGTGGGCTACAGGAATGGAACTGAAGATTTCAACTTTGTTTCTGTGGCCCACCAAAGGATTTCAGCTCCTCTCCCTCCCTTCTACGTGCAACCTTCCTCATCGACTAGCTATATATACTTATTTAACTCTAGTTCCAAGGAAAAGTAATTAAGCTCTAAAGTACAGCGTTTTGGTTTGGTGCATATGAGTGAATGATTAATATATAAAGAAACTAGAGAGTGACACTTTCAAAGACCATAAAAATCTAACCTTCTGGCCTCAGAATTACAAATTGGACTCATAAGTCTATTCTGGCTGTTTGCATAGCTTCATCCTTAGTTTCAAGGTCATTCATATTTGGAAACTGCCTTTTATATATACAGATTCTTCTTTATATACCGTAGCTTTTCTTTGAAGAGCTAGTAAGAACTGATTGGAGGCTGACAAAATTGTTTCTGAATATTCTGGAACACTAATAAATCCACACCCTCTTCTTTTACTGGTAAAATAGTGGTCTAAGGGTGTGTCTATGTAAAAGACTTGTCTGAAGTTGGATATGCTTATACAGGCCATGTAAACATGTGTAGCTTATGTAAGAAGAACCCAAAGAATCAATGCAGGCTGTGTAGTTTTGTATGTTTATGTTAAGCTAAGTATAACTGATTTACAATACCAGTAGATCTTTGCATTTTACTCTAACACAATATATGCATACTTTTTAAAAGCCTGCATACCACATGTTTGTATCGAAACTACATGTCATATTCTTGTAGTGTAGTATATTTTTATTGAGAACTGAACAGTGAATTATGAAAGTTTTTTCCTTAAATCTTACTTCTGCTATGGCAGTAAATAAATCACTATCTGCTTCTGTTTCTTCATCTGCAGTATTAGAAAAATTAAGATTTACTATATAAATTAATTTAAGTATTATTGATTTCATTAAGGATTTGCTAGTTAAATGACCATGGATACCTCATTTCTACCTAATAAAATATAAGGATTTTGGCAATTTGCTGAATTAAATCAAACTAATATTCAGTATGTTCCTTACTCAGCTGAATGATTTACATACATTTTTTTTATTTAGCAAATTTATATGGCTGCCCATCTCAATGAATGTGAATGTACAGTCAGCTGCAATTAAAAACAATATGACAACTATTCATTAGAATTTATATGGCTGCCCATTTCAATGAATGTGAATGTACAGTCAGCAGCAATTAAAAACAATACGACAACTATTCATTAGAACAAATAAATATAAACAAAAATTAAGATTGCTGGAGAGGTACAATATAATCTTGATTGAAAGGAAAATAAGCTTAGTACTTCATTCAGTCTGCTTCTGAAATGATTTTGAGAATAAAATGGACTGCAAGTGAACAGATGATGGCAGGGTAAGAAAGAGCCGAGCTCCCAATGATAAAAATACAGATATAATGTATAATTGGACATGCTTCCCACCTATTTTGACAATATTTACTAGGTAATGCTGCATGTGTTGAACTAAAAGTACACACACAATTTACTAGAACCTAGTAGAGATCAAAGTTTGAATTGGAGGTTGGGTTCACAAAGCAAGCCTGATCCTGTTTTGGGACAACCCATAACTATTTTTATCGAAGGAGGAAAATCGTGATTTGGTTAAAGATTGGAGAGATGAAGTTTGGGATTCTGGATTTTATTAAGATTTATTCTCCATCCCTTGGGACAGTTGCTATGCAGTACAGAGGCTGCTAAACTTTGGCAGAGGTTTTGTGCCTCTTAACAGTTAGTTCTGTTTTGAAATCTGTATGCATTGTTGGCTAAGATAACCATTTAAAACTTAAGCAAAGTGTTTCATATAAAGCCAGAACAAAATCCAACTTAAATATTTGTGTGCATCCTCCCTCCCCCCTTTTAAATCCTCACCATTTCCTTGCTAAGAACTGGAATATTTAGATGTCCTGTTTTGTGTGCTTCCAGAATAAAATGCTTTTGTCTTTTCCTTGTTGACAGTCAAATACTATATAGCAGGAATGAGTATGCTCTTAAGTTCCTTAACCTCAGGAATAGACATGCTGCTTGACCTCAGCGACCTCCTTCAGGTAATTGTAACTGCTTTTGTTTAACTATTCTATTAAAACATTAACACATGCCAAAAACTGAAAACAGAGAGATTATAATAGCAGCTTTACTGAAGCAACTTTCATTATCTTTTTCTCCCATTTAGCAGTATTGGTTCATTTAGTGCAATAAGAATCAGGTGTTTGGTATATATCACTCCATTTTACAAATAACAAATCAACAGTATAATTGTGATGCTAATAATTAGACTGCAAATGCAGTGGGCTTTATACTCTGTTCAGATTTATGTTTATGTATTTTATTTTAAAAGTATATTTAAAAATACTGGCAAAAGCAGGTATTCAGTTCTATAAAGCTGGAGGGAAATTATTTTAGCAGAAACTTCAGAAGTTGGCTTGAAAGAAGAATACTGGCAAAATTATATATGTATTATTTCTTAAGGAGCAGTTTTCACAACTTAGGGCTCATCTTGGGATGGAAATTCCAAGAATCCAGCATCTGGAATGTTAGAGATGATTTCCCCACATATGTTATGATGATTAGATGAACTTGTCATCTGCATGAAAATGATTCAACTGAAATATGCAGGGTGATGCAAAAACCAGCGGTCCCCAATTTTTATGGCTTCATGGATCGAAGGCAGTGGAGGTGGTGATGGGGGATGGTTTTGCACGTGCAATCCAGATCCTGCGCATGCTCAAATGAAGCTTCGTGTGCACGCCTGTTGCTTGCATGGCCCAGTTGCCTACAGGATTGGTACTGGTCCACAGACCAAGGTCCCTTCCAGATTCTATTCTATTCTATTCTATTCTATTCTATTCTATTCTATTCTATTCTATTCTATTCTATTCTATTCTATTCTATTCTAAAACATATAAGGAACGGTTGCTGGAATTGGGTATGTCTAGTTTAACGAAGAGAAGGACGAGGGGGGACATGATAGCAGTGTTCCAATATCTCAGGGGCTGCCACAAAGAAGAGGGAGTCAAGCTATTTTCCAAAGCGCTTGAAGGCAGGACAAGAAGCAACGGGTGGAAACTAACCAAAGAGAGAAGCAACCTAGAACTAAGGAGAAACTTCCTGACAGTTAGAACAATTACCCAGTGGAACAACCTGCCTCCAGAAGCGGTGAATGCCCCAACACTGGAAGTTTTAAAGAAGAAACTGGACAGCTATTTGTCCGAAATGGTATAGGGTTTCCTGCCTGAGCAGGGGGTTGGACTAGATGACCTCCAAGGTCCCTTCCAACTTTATCATTATTATTATTCTATTCTATTCTATTCTATTCTATTCTATTCTATTCTATTCTATTCTATTCTATTCTATTATTATTTCCTTATTAAATGGATAATTTGCAACATCATTCTTGTCTTTATGATATCTGATTTATCTATTATGGTCTTAGATATATTGGATTAGAGTATGTCTCACTTAGCAACTCTTATTTTAGCAACCATTCGTGGTTATGATGGTGATGAAAAAGTAACTGCATTATTCTCACATTTACAACTTTTACAGAAGAAAAGAAAAGCTTAAGTAAGATCATAACCACAGTTGTGGTTTCAATAAGTGACTAATTAACTCGATGACAGAGTTGCCAGCTCCAATGTGGTTGCTAGACAAAGACTACTTGCACTGCTAAATCTTATCAAAAGTTTTCAGCTTTTCTGATCTTTCTTTCAAAATGCTGTTTAGCACAGAATTATATTAATAGCTAACTACATAATATATTATAAACTATATATTATTATCTATTGTGGCCTCTTTCAATCATATGCCTTTTCTGGAAATAAAATTGAAAAAAAAATAACAAACTGAAGATTTGGATACCAAGCTGTCAGTCTTTATAATAGAGAAGTAATGTATTCTGTATTAGTACATATTATCAAAATACATGCAGGCAGGAAACAAATAAATATGCAGATTTATGCCAGTTACAAGCCCTTATTTTAATATATGTTAATATAATTTGTTTGTAATGTTGGTGTTTAAGAAACAATTTCTTAAAATTTTTATTTAATTTATAAAGTCAATATTAATGCAGTGGAATTTATTACAAGCTCAAAACTGAATTCCAAAATAATTTGAAGAATTCTTAAAAAGAGCATTTTAGATAATACTTTCCAAAAGCAAATCACATCTTTTTCATATAGTAGTAATGAGGGAATGTTGGTTATCCCTACATCTGCTGGGAGACAGAGTCAGTGATTTTCCCAGAATAATAAAAAAGAACAGCTTTTCTCTTTCAGTAGAAGGAAATCAGTCTTTTTCTGATGTGATCATAACTAACAGGGAAGACACAGCAATCAGACTGGAATTAATGGAGAATTAACTTTGGGTAAAAGTAATTGCGTAATACTGCATTTCTTGATTTTATGGGGAAATTAAAAGGAAATTAAATCATACATCTACCTTGAAATTGAAGAAAATGGATTATATGGCAGGAGTAGTTAATGGAAAAAATGAGTCAAAACTTTCTGAAAAATGGAGAGACTAAAAGCAAAACTACACAAGTCCAACAAAGAAGAAAAATGGAAAACCAGAGAAGAAGCCGACATTTAGTGAATTTAAAAAACCCACACAAATACAAAACAGAAAGAGGAATAGAAGAAATACATATTATTAGCTCAGATTTGTAGAGATATTATCAAGAAAATTAAATCTCAAAATTATCTGAGATTGGTAAAGAAAATAACAGGTTTTTTCAAACTTATTGGAAAATAAAGAGAGAAAGAAACTGAGCTGTTGAGAGAAGATAGTGTAAAGGATAACAGAACAAAGGCAGAATTACTCAGTTCCCATTTTGATTAGTCTTCCCTAATCCCACTGGGTATTTGTGAAAAACAGGTTCAAGGAACATAGTTCCAGCTTGAGACTTAAGAGAAATATAGTCAAAGATCTATTTACTTTGAATGAGTTTAAATCTCAAGAGATAGACGAATTGCATTCTAGGATACCAACGAACCCTCTGACGGTTTGGCTGAAGCTCTATTCTTATCTTTAAAAAGTCCTAAGAGAATGATTGAAGTACAAATGTCTGGAAGAGATAAATATTCTTTTCTTCAGAAAGAGGAAAAAAGAATCTGATCAGATATTAAAGTAATTGTTCTGTAAACACCTTGAAAACAATTTAGTGATTCTTACAGTTATCCTGAATATGTTAAGAACATGTCATTGTTGGACTTGCTTTATTTTTTTAATTGGAACATTGAATGGGTAGATCAGACCCTTAGGGAAGCTGTTGAATGTTATGTAGAAACAGCTTCCAGAATCTCCTCTGAAATGGATGATGCTGATGTGTGGGTGCTTTGTGATACTGGTTTTATAGAGGCCCCAAAGCCTGGACATAGGTGGTTTGAAGTGGGGTTGTTAAAGCTGATAGGAGCCATTCTTGGAGAAGGATGATTTGATGTATCACATGATATAGCTTTTCAGCCTTTGTGCTCCTCCTGAATGCCACATAATCAGATCCTTGGAGGCCTCATTTCCAGATGCTACCAGATTTCCCTGCAATAAAGCTTACTTCATCCATGATTTCATTGTGAATGAGAGGGCAGACATGGCATGCATTACCAAAACTTGAATGGGTGCAGAAAGTGATGTTGCCCACTCAGAGTTATAACCATCTGGGGACATGATTTTAGGGCTGTGGAATTGAGGGTAGAATGGCTGTTGTCAGGTGAAGGAAACTTGTAGAAGCATCTATCCCCAGATAAATGAATATGAAATTATGTGTGAAGTTGGGCTAAAGAAATTAGTTGGGATTGTTCTGTTGTAGTGGCCTTCCTGCTGCACAGCAGCTTCACCACTTAAGGCTGTACCTGGGCTGGTGATCAGAGTTTCTGGGCTTATATTGATGGAAGACCTCAAACTGCCTTCACTCATTGTAAACTCTGAACCAGCTTGGGAGTTCATGGATGGTCAGTGACCCAACTCTCATTGGTGGTCACATGGTAACAAAGGTCCTGGATTGGTCCTGAATGACCTCTTTCTGTCTGCTGATCCTATGGTGCCCCTTGTTTACCAAAGAATACCAGGAAAAGAAGTGGCAGAAGAGCGAGCTAGACTACCAATGGAGAAAGATTGAGAGCAAATCTGACTGGATATGTACACAATCCTAGATTACTGTGATGAAAACCATAGCAAAATTTTCTTTTCTTCTCTTTTTCTTCTCTTACAGTGTGCACAGTGTACTATTAAGTAGTCCCTATTTAGGCTATTTCTCACTCTTTTAGAAATGGAGAGGCCTAAACATTTTCATGACTGCTGCAAGACATCTGATAGATAAAATTGCTCAAATCCGACAAGCTTGATCTGACTGAGGCTGATCTTGTTTTGTTATCTGGGAGGAGTTTGTACCATAGATACTTGTATATCTTGGGGAGGTGGGCAGGGTCCCCAGAGCTATGAGTGTCTCCACCTGCTGGCTAGATCTGTTTCCTTCTTGGCTAGTTAAGTGTGCCCCAGGGATGATGTGTGATTAGGTCCAAACAGCAGTAAGTTGTTCCTTGAATGACCAGGGTATTCCCTCCTTCCTTGAAAGAGGTGTCATGCACTTCTATCTTAAGAAATCAACATTGGTCTCAATAGACAATTTTCATCCAGTTTTCAATCTTTTCTTTTTAGGAAGGTGATAGAAAAGGTGGTTGGACTGTAACTCCAGAGGACTCTGGGAGAAATGAACTCTCAGTATTCTTTATAGTCAGGTTTCAGAATGGAATGTAGCACTGAGATAATAATAAAGTTTATGGATGATCTTTGGCAGGATCAAGATAGAGGTGGCACAATTCTTTTGAGCCTCTTTGATTTCTCACAGTTTTTGATATTATCACTCATGGTATCCCCTGGATCAACTTTAGGGACGGAAAGTTGGGTACTCTTTTACCATGTTTTTCTTTCCTTTCTCTGAATACTGTGTGCAACGCTTGCAGTTCCTCAGAGCTTTATGCTCTTTTCCCCTCCTATTTAACATCTACATAAATTGCTAGGAGAAAACATCCAACGGCATGTGGTCGGGTAT